CTGAGGAGCTCAGAACTGGACACAACTCTCCAGGTGTGGCCTCATGAGAGCTGAGCAGAGAGACAGGATCACCTCCCTGACCTGCTGGCAATGCTTTTCCCAATGCATCCCAGGATTCCATTGGCCTACTTGGAATCTAGTAGATGGTATCTACTCTCCATCAGTAACCATACACTTTCCTAAATCAAATCACTACTATCAAAACCCACTTCGCCTGTATATATATGTGGCAGATTTAGCACACCTGTTAATGGAATTTCCCTAACAATTCCCATAGCAGCAAAGTATCAGTGTGTCCTGATGCTAAAACAGCTGGATTACCTGTTGTCAAACTTTTGCTCAAAGCCTGATTTGAGATACTTGAACAGAACTCTCAGAATCACAGAATGATCAGAGCTGGAAGGGACCCTTGAGGATCATCCAGTCCAACTCCTGCCCTGCACAGACATCCCTGACAATCACACCCTGTGCTGAGAGCATTGGCCAAACACCTCTGGAGCTCTGTCAGCCTTGGGGCTGTGACACTGCCCTGGGGAGCTGCTCAGTGCTCAAATACCTCTGGGGGAAGAACCATCTCCAGTTTGGGATAACAGTGAATTTTTCCTCCTCTACATGAGTTTTTTACACTAATATTAAAACAAATTCTGTAGCGAGAGATAAAATGAAGTTCTACTTTGCATTTCTTGGCAAAGGCTTCAGTCACATTAAGAAAAGCTTATTTCCATCAGTCTCTCTAAATGGAGAGAGCAATTTTAATATCGGAAACAGCAAAAATAAGTTAAAAAGAAAATCATATAATCATCGAGGTTGGAGGAGACCTCGAAGATCATCAAGTCCAACCATTAACCTGTCACTGCTGGAACCCCTAAACCCTAAACTAGATCCTCCAGTGCCACATCCAGACAACTCTCAAACACCTCCAGGGGTGATGGCACCAAATGGCACAGGAGAACACAAACTGACATTTTATGTTCCTCAGGTAAATCATCAAATATCAAAATCATTCAAACAAAGCAAAACAGCAAACAAATACAGCATTTATATTCCAACTGTTTTCATCACACCGATCTACTTCAATCCAATCCAATACACTTCATTTCTACAGTGTTCCTGTCCCCTGTCCTTCCCCCTCCCGCCCTGAGCTACATCTGCTTCCCTGTTTTCTCATCTCCAGGAAACTTCTGGGTTATGTGATTACCTTTTCACCTTGACAACTGTCATCATCAGGTCACTCCTCTTTCTGGGACTAACCTTGAGGAGCTCTGATCCCTCTCCTGTCCTGGCTGGTGGCTGCTCCAGGATGGGGCTCCCCATCCCTCTCCTGTCTGCCACTGACCCCCAGTGGCTACACCTATTCTTGCTCTGCCTCAGTGTTCACACACTGCTGCTGCTTCCATGGAATAAAGCTTGGAACGTGCTAGGGCATCTGGAAGCAAACAAGACCTAGCATGGTATGACCACTGTCTCATGGCCACTGGTCGCAGACTCGAAGAATGATTTTGGTAGAAAGGAGCCTCTACAAGTCACACAGCTCAATAATTACTGACCAGAGCACTCCATGCTGCTCAGGACTTGCTCCACCTAGACCAGAGCACTCCCACACACTCCAAACAGTCTCTGCCGATATCTGCTACTCTTAACGAAAAAAACGTTTTTTCCCCAATTCACTTAGAATTTCCCTTGTTACAACTTGTGTTCAGACCCAGCTGGCTCAGATAGAGGAGCAAAAGAAAGGACAACAAAGAGGAAGAGGCAGCTGTTCTCAGAGAAGAGAATCTCTCCTGAGACACTGCCCAATGCCCCGGCAAAGGGAAATGTTTAGTTATGTAAATCTTAACTTCACCTTTGTGTAGCAGCAGAAAGAGATCAGGTCCTGACAGCACCATAATTCCACTTCCAAGAAGGAAAAGTTGTAAACAAAAAGCAAACATCAAAAAGTCAGCACAGGATGCAGAGAACTTGTCAGTTCACAAATCCTCACAGAGTTCCTTGTTGAGACTTAGCTCCACAGGATGCAAAGCTCTCAGATGAGCACTTACAGGTAAGGATTCCTTTCACAGCAACACACTGCACTGTTGGGAGAGACTTAACCTCTTCTATTTTTAACCTGGAAGATAATCTAATGAAATTTAAGCATTTACATAATGTGATTTTAGGCTAACCAATATTTAAATAATTGCTGATCAAGCACATCAGAGTTCCACAAAGAACAAAAAAACCCACTACTGCAGATGACAAAATGCCAACTAATAGAATCATCCACACTGAATTCCACACAGATAACCCATCATTTTTCCCAAGACTATTGATTCAATCCACAAAGCAAACATTCACCTGAAAGTTTTCCATGCATGTCACACTTGCAGCTCTACCCAGATATTAAGTAAAGAAAAAAAAGAACTAAAAATCTACTATTTCATCATTAAAGAAGGACACACAATAAAAACATACCTGACTGCAGAGTATGTGGTAAGATTTGAGCTGTCCTCAGTGTTCCATTGGTTTGTGTGGATTTTAGGGCTAGTCTAACATTCAGCATGCCAGTAACAATGAATAAGCCTAATGCATTACGTAAGTGTAAGCTGATTAAACCCTTGATCCTGAAGCCACCTCGTTTTCCCCCTCCCCCTCTGATTTAAAACTTAGCACAATTGAAAAAAAAAGTCTTAGTTTTAAACACTTGCAAAACCTAATTTGTACCGTTTGGGGTCATAAAACCCACCACAATTTGACGTTCATATAACCCCTTGAGGTTTTAGTCTTTATAATTTCCTAAACCTGGCAAAAGTTTTTTTTTAAAGTATCAGTTCCCTAAGAGATTTTACATACTGTGACCAAACTTTTGGCATTTAAAGAGGATAATAAAATGGACTGAATAGAAGTAAGATAGCAGAGTTATTCAAGTTCTAAGGTCTGAGCTTCACCCATAAAACCTCAGAGCAAATGGAATTAAACACAAAGCCTTACTATCCCATCCTTTAGTGCTGGCAAGAAGTGAGATTTTCAGGCATCCTGCACATGCCATTCCCCATTCCCAGGTCCATTATGCCTCTACACAGTGTATGTGCTACAACCTACAGGGAGGAATAGATCAGGGGAGGTCATGAAAGAGTTATGTCCCCCCAGCACTTTAGAGGGCTATGATCTCACTGCATTGTCGATGTGACAATGGGAGCAGGATAAAGGGATCCAGGCAGCAGAGGCTGTTAGCTTATGTGCCCTAAAGAACAGGAACGTGGAAAGCAATACATGATTAACTGCTTTGAATAGGGGGAAAAAATTCCTTCCACCAGGCCCACGTGCCACACACAAAACAAGCTGCAAAGAGCTGCAAACTGACTGAACAACTTTGTTCTCGTGTGCGTGTGAATTTTAGATGTTAGTTATCAGGCAATATCCAAGCACAGAATGCTTGGATCAACACAATCACTGGGAACATTTTAGTTGTTATTTTTGATTTTATAGAATCATAGAATTTCAGAGGTTGGAATGGACCTGAGAGATCATCTGGCCCCAACCCCCTGCCCTGGGCAGGGACACCTCCCACCAGAGCAGGTTGCTCAAGGCTCAGCCAACCTGGCTGTGAACACTGCCAGGGTTGGGGCAGCCACAGCCTCCCTGGGCAACCTGGGACAGTGTCTCACCACCAGAACAGGGAAAACTTCTGCCTAAGATCTCACCTAAATTTCCCCTCCTTCAATTTGTCCCCATTGCCTCTTGTCCTGTCCCTGCAGCTCCTAACACAGTCCCTCTGCAGCTTCCCTGTAGACCCTCAAGACATCTCAGCTTGAAAAACCCAAATTTGTTGCTTCTAAACTTTTTAAGCCTTATTTTACCCCAAGAAGGAGCCATATGCACGTTTGATCAGGCACTGGAAAAGGCTGTCCAGGGAAGTGGTGGAGTCACCATCCCTGGAGGTGTTTAAGAGATGTCTGGATCTGACAGTGCAGGATCTGGTTTAGGTTTTAAGGGTTCCAGCAGTGACAGGTTAATGGTTGGACTTGATGACCTTATAGGTCTCCTCCAACCTTGATGGTTCTGTGAAGTTGATACTGCTTCACAGAGACAACACAACTATGAATTGGTAGCTCAAATGTTTTTACTGAAAGTTTAGAACAGCAAACTATAGCTACAGTGCTATAGTAAAGGCAGCAGAATGGCCCTGAGCAAACAGGAACAGCCTGTGCTCTGCAGAGTCTTCATTAGTACTGAGAATTATATCATATCATAGAACCATCAGGGTTGGAGGAGACCTCTAAGACCGAGTCCAATCATTAACCTGTCACTGCTGTAAATGAGACAAGGATAAGACATGAGAGAAGGATGTAAGGTGAGTTTCAGCTCAGGAGTAGAAGGTTTTTAAGCCATGGTAAGTTCGAATGAAATGCAGATGTTTTACTCGTAAAAGAGAGGATGTTCATGCCAGGATTCACAGGTTGCCTATGCTATGCAATATGTATTTCAAATTAGAAACCCAGTGATAGTTTAGTTAAAAGAACAGGTGTATAGATGAACCAAGTGCATAAATACAGTATAAAGAGGGATGGCTCTGGGGCTTGCAAGCTCTTGTACCAGCACCTGAAAACATCCCAGTTCATGGACACATCCTCCTGTTTAACATACAAGGCTATGTCATGAATCAACAGCAGTGAGATAAATCAAACAAGAAAAGACGTCTGGACAGGCAATACTAGTATGGAAGAATAATGCAGGTGGATTTTCCCTTCACACAGGATGAATAAAACAGATTCGAACATGCAGTAAGTAATAAGACTCTGGGGTTTCTCACATCACATATGTGGCTTTCTTTCTGGTCAGAACTTCAGACTAGCTGATGAAAAATATGTACTGTCCCATTCAGTTTATACTGAAACCAATCAGAACAAGATCAATGTATTTGTCACTGGTTCCCCACTAAGATGTATCTTGCAGAGGAATAATTTTAAGAACATGAAGCACTGGAGTTGCATCAATCCAAACCTTCAGGACTTATCACATACCCCATTCTCCACACGTTTCTCCACAGGGATATTGATGCCATTTCTTTGATTCTGGGCTTGACGTCCACCTGAAAATAAAGGATCACTCTTAGTGCAAAGGTCAGTTCTCATCACAACTGGTTTTTACTCTTAAATCTGTTCTTGAATGTTCTGTGAATTCTGTTCAAGAATTTATATAAAGCTTTTACTGGTGAATTTTTATTTTGCTAGTTCCAACTACTTCTTACTAGTTTATTCTTTGTAAGCAGTGAAACAGCAGAAATAGAATCATCACAGTAACAGAATTTTAGAGGTTGGAATAAGCCTTAGAAATCACCAGTCCCAACCTCCTGCCCTGGGCAGGGACACCTCCCACCAGAGCAGGTTGTTCAAGGCTCAGCCAACCTGGCTGTGAACACTGCCAGGGTTGGGGCAGCCACAGCCTCCCTGGGCAACCCGGGACAGTGTCTCACCACCAGAACAGGGAAAACTTCTGCCTAAGATCTAATCTAAATTTCCCTCCTTCAATTTGTGCCCATTGCCCCTTGTCCTGTCCCTGCAGCTCCTAACACAGATCCCTCTGCAGCTTCCCTGGAGCCCCTTCAGCTCCTGGAAGGTGCTCTGAGGTCTCCACACAACCTTCTCTTCTCCAGGCTCAAGAGCCCCAACTCCCTCAGCCTGTCCTCACAGGGGAGATGCTCCAGTGCTCTTAGCAACTTCGTGGCCTCCCCTGAACTTGCTCCAACAGTTCCACGTCGTTATATTAAATAAATCTTTTACTTTACAGCCTTCCTCTGTTTAAAGGACAGACATGCAGCTCTACTTTTCTGACTTCTGTCTGGACAACGATGTCCTGAGTGTGACTACTCAAGTTTCATACTTCGTGTCCAAAAGAAGCAGCAGCTCCAGTTGAATAACAATAAAAATTAATATAAGTAGAAAAAGCTTTTCTGACTTGTAAAGTTATAAACAACTTTAATCTACAGATTAATCCATAGGTCAATGATGAATTAAAAACCCTCGTTCAGAAGCAACATCTTCCTTGTACACGAAGCTCTCTGGCTTCAGGTCCATCTTAAATTTCTTAACATATTTTGTATTGCTCAAAAGATGACAAAATATTTTATCAAGAACCTAATGAATGTAGAAACTCCTCTTACAGTATTTGGCCTGATACTTCGGCATTCAAAGCAACCAGGAACTACTTAGAAATACAAGGAAGAAACCTCAGCTCAAAGCAATAAGGACACAGCCAAAACCTGAAATTCTGTTGTTAGCATATTCAGATGAGCTGAGTAAGGACAATGTGAGCATGCAAACACAGATACCTTTCCTACCCTTCAGGCAGCCTGACAGACATCAAGTATATAATGCAGAGTCTCAAAACTCTTCTCCTAAATTAAGTACAGTCTATACTAGTTAGATCAGAAAACTAAAATCCTTCTGTTTTTTCATTCCAGCCTTTTAAGAAAGGCACTTAATAGAGCACTGGTTTATAGACACCCTTTTCATGTAGAACCAAGCAGTGATGGTGATGCAAATTATCACCACTATTAAATATATCTACATGAAGTACTGAGAAAGTAAAAGGCATTGAAATATCTGTCAACGATGCCTGTAAAATAGACTTGGGCAACTAATTTGAATCGTTTTAGAAACTAAAATCTTTCTCTGGTGCAACTGAAAGAACAGGAGGTCAAAAAGAACAACCCCAACCTCTCAAAACTCAATATGAGTTTGGACCTCTCAAACTTTCAATGAGAAAAAACTGCATCAAGTCTATTACACAGCAATATTTTTGGATCAGAACTACGCAGAATAAAAATTGATCTTCCTATTACTCAGCAGACTGGCAGAAATTCTTCTAGAGAAGGAAATTTGAGGAGAAGTATAAAGGTGCCACTGAAGAAGACTCAAGATGGCTTTGGTGTAAGGAAGTCGTATTACCTGTAGCTATTCATGTTCAGAGAAAGAACTGACAACCAACTCCCTTCAGAAAGCTTAGAAATGTGTTTAGGTAGCAGCACTAGAGGCTCAGTGTACTTACCCTGCTCATTGCTCTCAGCTGGTGACTCCTCATGCCGCAGGAAGAACTTGACCTCCTCCCTGCGGGGTCCCCACTTCTGCAGGTGGTCATACATCATGTGATCGAAGGGGATGGGACGTTCTGAAAGCACAAAAACACCTCAGCACTTAACTTCCTTCAATTAACCAATCTAAAACTCTCATGAAGGATCAGAACGTCATTTTAGTAGCAACTCCAACTATCCAATGTTAGGCAAAGTCCAAGCAACAAGCACCAACAGCAGGATCTGCTGGGATGCAAAGCTGTTCTGTGTCACAGCTCACTCTTCCACAGAACTGCACAACTGGTCTGCAAAGCCACACCAAAAATACCAGCATTTAGCAGCCCTAATTTAGGAAACAGCAACTTTGCTCCCCATCAGCAGCAGATGGATATTGTGTTCTATCCTTAAAATGACTCACTCCATTTAAACCTCCAGGTTTCCACTCAGACTAAAAGCCTTAGCATTATATTGACATTTCATCCCCTAAGAACTTGAGCAGGTGCTCCCACTCCAATACTCTGTGCCAGGGAGTCACTTCCGGTACATGTGGAATTACTGGTGACTCCCTGAACAAATACAGAATGAGTTCTATGCAGAAGTTGATCTGTTTTCCCCAAAGAAATAGAAATCATTCTCACAGTGTGGTTATTTCTCTGAAACTGAACAAATATATCATCACTAAGAGGCTTCACATTATATATTTAGTAGTTCGAAAGGGAAATACATTTGAAAAGCAAAGTTTTAATTTTTTTTGCCTTTTTATCTCCCACTTTCAAGTATAATTACACTTGCATTGATTACCAAATGTCTAAGATAAGAAAAATCTCCATTTTAAGATCTTCTAAGATCTAATCCGAAGCATAATATTAAAACATATCTTCTAACCAGAATAAAAGCATACTAGAAGAGACTGAATGAGCTTTCTACATGCAGCACCAAGTCAAACCAATAGTACTACAGAAAATCAGGCTTTGATGAAAATCAAACTCTGCATTTTGCCTTCTCCATTCCTAAAAGCCTCTTTGCCACCAAAACCCAAACCACAGGATCTCCTCCCAGGAAAAGCAGCACTGACAACTTGTCATCTGTTTCACACTTAACCCATTTTACATAAAAAGACAAAATGATATAACAGACATTTTGGGGAAAGCTTGGGAAAACCACATGACAGATTTTTATAATGAAATCTATCTATATTAGAATTGCTTAGATATACACATCCGGATACTCTTGGGACACTTCATTGTAGCATTTAAAGAACAATACTCAGCCCTGGTGAGGTCACACCTGAGAGTTGTGTCCAGTTCTGGGCTCCTCAGCACCAGAGGGACATGGAGCTCCTGGAGCAGGTCCAGGGGAGGGCAAGGAAGATGCTGAAGGGACTGGAGCACCTCAGGGATGAGGAAAGGCTGAGGGAGTTGGGGCTGTTCAGCCTCCAGAAGAGACAACTGAGAGGGACCTCATGAATGGATTCAAGGCCATCAATGGGAAGTGCCAAGAGGATGATCAGACTCTGCTCAGTGGGGGAAACCAATCAAACAAGAGGGAACAGCAAACACTGATGCCCAGGAAGTTCCACCTGAACACGAGGAAGAACTTCTTTGCTGTGCAATCACTGAGCACTGAACACATTGCCCAGAGAGGTTGTGGATTCTCCCTCACTGAGGTGTTCAAGCACCCCCTGGACACAATCCTGAGCCATGTGCTCTGGCTTGGCCCTACCTGAGCAGGGAGGTGGGACCAGATGATCCACTGTGGTCCCTTCCAACCTGACTGATTGTGTGAATAAAACCTCATCACTTAACTCATAAAGGATTTGATACAATGAAATGTTTTGTCAACATCTGTCATGTCCAATAGGTAACAGTGACTAACACACCTTAGCCAAAATCAGATCTAGCTGCTGTCAATGTGGAAGGATCATTTTGAACCACAAGCTAATTATATTAATCAGCTGACTGGTTAACTTATCTTCCTAAAAATAACACCGAAAAACCTCACAACAACAAAGGTCACAACACCCGGATTATAAAAAAATAGATGATTTTCTTAACTTTTTCTTGTTCCTCCCTCAAGTGGAAGCCAAGAAACATTGTCAATAGTGTTTATGCACACAAGAATAAGGTCAGTGGCTCATTACACCTCAGTGTCTGAAAAGGCATTTTAAAAACATGACTTTCAGGTTTTTCAACTCCTAAAGCAAAGTCAGACTTCAAGTGCTTTGAAGCATATCCACTAAAATTGCAGCATGAGTCGTCCAAAGTTCATAGAGCATAAATATATTTGAACTCTTCAGTTCAGAGACTTCAGGAAACAGAAGATAAGAATCTTTAGGGATTTTTTCCCAAACAGAAGAATTGCTAGGTGAACTCTGCAAGAGCTGAAGCTTGGTAAGAAGGTACAGACACTGGATGTCTGAGCAGGGTTGGGCTCCTCCTGGAATGGTGAGGAGTGGCTGCAGCCTCACTCCTCCTTCAGCTGGTGCCTCATTAACAGCAAGGCCTTGGTCCTAGGAGCTAGGCAAAGTCAGAGGTTTCATTTGCATAATGCACCTTGAGTAATTAAGGCTAATAATTTTTCAAATGTGACAGTGGAAAGAAATGGCAAAGACATTTTTTACTGCTTTCGCAATTCCTTCCCCAAAATAATTTGGGATGTGTTGCCCTAAATTAGAGAGAAAACAGGTTAAAGTAATAACAGAAGTGAAACAGAGGAAAGAAAGATAAAGAAGCACTAACTACTCTGAGCAACTTAGCTACATGGAACAGATTGGGAAAAGAAAGGAAGAAATAGGCATGAACAATTGACTTCAGACATGATGAGAATTGAAGTCTCCATTCCTTCCTTCACTTTAAATCCTTTAAGTCCATAAAAACTACTAGAAGGAAGCATGATCTTATATTGCTGTGTAATAACACAAAGACATTTTCTGGAAATCCCTGTTCTTTAACAATCAAAATCAAAACAAAGCATGGAAAGAAAAGCTACAGATAAACTTTCCCCAGTCGTTACAGCTGCAGACATATTTCTCAGGAATTGTTTTCACAACACTATTTCAAACTGATTTTTTGCAGTTTAAACAGAAGAGCATGAAGAAAAAGTGAAATAGGAGAATGGGTATAAACTAATAATCAATTGGTTGGTTGCTAAACTTTAACAACACATTAAATATTACAGAATCACAGGATAATCAGAGCTGGAAGTGACCCTTGAGGATCATCTGGTCCCTTGAGGATCATCAGTCCAACTCCTGCCCTGCACAGACATCCCTGACAATCACACCCTGTGCCTGAGAGCATTGGCCAAACACCTCTGGAGCTCTGTCAGCTTTCGGGCTGTGACACTGCCCTGGGGAGCTGTTCAGTGCCCAAACACCTCTTGGGGGCAGAAGAACCATTTGCTAATCTCCAGCCTAACCCTCCCCTGACACAACTTCAGCCCATTCCCTGGGTCCTGTCCCTGGTCCCAGAGAGAAGAGGTCAGAGCTGCCCCTGCACTTCCTTCCCTGAGGAAGTGTTATCCAGCCATGAGCTCTGTCCTCAGTCTTCTCTTCTCCAGGCTGAACAGACCAAGTGTCTCAGTCACTCCTCCTGTGGCTTCCCCTCAAGGCCCTTTACCACCTTTCTTGCCTTCTTTGGACACTCTCCAATAACTTACTATCTTTCTGACACTGTGGCACCCCAAATTGCTCACAATATTCCAGGGGAGGCTGCCCCAGCACAGAGCAGAGCAGGACAATCACCTCCCTTATCTAGTAATGCCTTGCCTGATGGCCCCCAGGACATGGCTGACCCTAGAGAACAGTTGTTTTCACAAATAACAAAGTGGAAAACCATGATGTATGCAGCTACCCCTACTTATTTGCAAGAACTTCCTTAAATTTTAAGTTGGATCAAAATTCTCAAATATTTTTAAGAACTAAGTTGGACTCCTTTGATTTTAAACAAAAATTTTAAGGATGAGCTAATTTTAAGTATTCCAAAATGAAACACCCTCTAAGATTATGGTGGAAGACTAGAGGGAATGGTCATAAAATGAGACAGGGGAAAGTCAGATTAGATGCTAGGAAAAATGTTTTCCCTGTGAGGGTGTTGAGGCACTGGGATATTGCCCAGGGAGGTGGTGGAGTCACCATCCCTGGAGGTGTTTCAGAGGTGTCTGGATGTGGCACTGAAGGATCTCATTTAGAGTTTAGGGGTTCCAGCAGTGACACGTTAATGGTTGGAGTTGATGATCTTAGAGGTCTCCTTCAACCTTGATATTCTACAACTGAAACAGATACCACACCAAAGTTTCAGAAGAGAGTTGCAAAATCCTTCTGTTGGAACTATAGATCCACTATGTAAAATAAGTTTCAGGCTTCAGAATCTGTTTTTCTCCTGACTACAAGTATCCTGCTACGTGCAATAAGCACATTTATTCCTGCTCTGCATGAAATCTCAATACAGAGCAGTGGATTATCTCCACAGCAGGGGAGTTTGCTGCAGGACCTGGAATGAGTCTTCCCCTTTCAGGTTTGTAGTAGTACACTCGTAGTAAACAACTATTTCCTTCACACTCTCTTGCCTCTATGTCACCACTACCTTGAGGAATGCCAATTAATACCAACTGCTGAAGGGCAATTTCAGATGTAAACGAAGTGAATAATCGAGTACTAGGTGGATTTAGTGGTTGAAATCCATTCTCTGTTGAAACATACTACAAGTTCCTGGCATCACACCTGTCTGTCAGCCTCCTTTCCAACTCCTGTTTGCAATAGCTGTGGAATGCGGAAGATATTCTGTGGGGTTTTTTCTCTCCTGTTACAACATGAGAAATCCATGTGAGAAGAGGAAGCTTCAAACTGACAAGGCACAAGGTGGTACAAAGTACACTGAGATATCAGTCATGAATACTACTGACTTTGTCAACTATTGCTCACCCCAAGAGCATTGGAACAGCTCCCCAGGGCAGTGTCACAGCCCCAAGGCTGACAGAGCTCCAGAGGTGTTTGGCCAATGCTCTCAGGCACAGGGTGTGATTGTCAGGGATGTCTGTGCAGGGCAGGAGTTGGAGTGGATGATCTTCAAGGGTCACTTCCAGCTCTGATTATCCTGTGATTCTGTAATATTTATTGTGTTGTTAAAGTATAAGCAACCAACCCATTTAAAAGAAGATGTGGCTACCTGTAGAGAGGAGTTGAGCACATTCACAAGGATTGGTAGACATCTCTCTCTCACAAAGAGTAGTGATTTGTCATCTGTGCCACACGGGGAGGCTGCCAGGAAAACAGATCACTTATATTGTGGGAATAAACCTAATGTGTTTAGTCAACACATGAACTGCTGTATTAACATTTCTTTTCAAAGAATCATAGACTCATCAAGGTTGGAGGAGATACCTAAGATCATCCAGTCCAACCATTCTCCTATCAGTGCTGGAACCCCTAAACCCTAAACCAGATCCTCCAGTGCCAGATCCAGATGCCTCTCAAATACCTCCAGGGATGGTGACTCCACCACCTCCCTGGGCAATATCCCAGTGCCTGACCAAAATTTTGAAAACCAAACTTTTGCATTTTACTACCCAAAATGTCCTCTGAAGGAACTCTCACAGACCTCTCTTGAGGATAAGGGCTGAGGGCTCAGAGACAGTGAAACAGAAGAGAGAAAATATGCTCTTCCACTGGCACAACACGCAGCAGTTTCACTGCAAATTGCTTCACACTTCCCACTCAGAACCACAGTTTAAAGTTTTCGTTGTTGTAACTGTTGCATTTAACTGTTTAGTCTTGTTTTCTACATCAAATCTCTGCTCCAGGCAAAATTAGATGAAAAAAACTTCAGTGTAAGGAGTTCAATTTAGCTCACAGCAGCAGCAGAAGGAAAAATTATCATATTCATGCCCTGTCAAAAAACAGAAACAAGATCAGGTCATTTCACTGAGAAATGGATGTATTTTGGGTCAAGGAGCTGGGGTCACAGATTTTGTAACGGTGCCCTACGTTTAAGAACAACAAAATTTCAGCTTGTACTGAAATTCCTGCCAGAGAGCCTTAAAACCAGTGTGCAGGATGTCTTTTTTGCTGACCCTACAGGGTCTGTTTCAAAGATGCAGAAAGATAGGCCAGTGTTTAATTTTTTCTTTCATTCTCTCTAGTCTCTTCTGTTCCACACTTTCAAAGCAGCAGATCTATACAATTGCCACCTCGAGAATTTAGCAAGTGAAGCTTGTGGACAAAGTCAAGCACCTTCATGTGAGTTTTAAAAGAAACTTGGAGCCAACAACAAGTAGAAGCTCTGGGCACTATTTTGCTCCTATACTCAGCTGTATGCATGGAGATGTCAACTTCACAACACTGGGTGAGCTACAGTGCTCAATACTGAGCAGATAACAAAGAGCTGAAATCAGTGATCTCCATGTTCTACTCATGGTAATATCATCGAATCATAGAACCATCAAGGTTGGAGGAGACCTCTAAGATCATCGAGTCCAAACATTAACCTGTCACTGCTGGAACTACTAAACCCTAAATGAGATCCTCCAGTGCCACATCCAGACACCTCTGAAACACCTCCAGGGATGGCGACTGCACCACCTCCCTGGGCAATATCCCAGGGCCTAAACACCACAACAGGGAAAACATTTCTCCTCACATCCAATCTGACTCTGCCCTGACTCAGCTCAAGGCCATTCCCTCTATCCTCTCCCTGCAGCCATGGCAGGACACACATCCCCCACCTCTCTCCAGCCCTGGCAGGGAGACGAGGAGAGCCATGAGGTCACCCCCGAGCCTCTTCTCAAGGCTTAAAAATCCCAACTCTCTCAGCCCTTCCTCATGTGCCCAAGCACTTTGTCACTTTTCCTTTTGTACCTGATGATCTAGAAAGAAAAATTCTATGCCCCTTCTTAAACTTCAGGCTGTGCTCACATGCCTAACAGTGAGGAAATAGGATTGGAAAGAATACAGATGGTGATTTGCAGCCCTGGACAGAAAAAACCATCATGAGATTCCATATTGTCATTTAAATACTCTCCATCCTATTGGAACTAAATGGCTTCTAGAAGTGAAAATACACATACTCCTATCATTTGTTTAGAACACTAACAGATCTTACACATGCATTTTATCAACTGCTGAGGAAGAAAACAGAACAGAAAAGAGTCAAGAATGACATCAATCTTTACTGATACTGAGTTCCAATGCTTTGCATCAAAGCCTGAATGAAAAAAACCAAAGTAGAATTTGAAAGAATTAATATGGACAAGTCAGTCCTACATTTTGAAAATCGGGACACATATTGGAATCCAAGGGCAGTGAACATTTCACTCACCATTCCCACGCCACACCTCAGCCAGGTGGCAGCTTCCTTCTCCAGGCTCCTTGCAGAACTCCACGACATCGCGACAGGTTGTTTCTGGTGTGATTGGAACTTCTGTCAGGATCTGCTCATTGTTGCTCAGAAACACAGTTAGGATCATCTGAAAGAAACAAAAAGGAGCAGAATATTAATTTTAAAAAGGGAAGAAAAGGATTATGGGTAAGATTTATAATGCCTCTGTAAATGTATGATTACGGTTGGTTACCATGTTCCAAAGTAGTTTTCAGTTTCCTGTAACTCTGACAAAGATTTAGTCATAGAATCGTACAATTTTAGGGGTTGGAATGGAGCTTAGAGATCATCCAGCCCCAACCCCCTGCCCTGGGCAGGGACACCTCCCACCAGAGCAGGTTGCTCAAGGCTCAGCCAACCTGGCTGTGAACACTGCCAGGGTTGGGGCAGCCACAGCCTCCCTGGGCAACCTGGGACAGTGTCTCACCACCAGAACAGGGAAAACTTCTGCCTAAGATCCAGCCTAAATTTCCCCTCCTTCCATTCGTATCTATTGCCCCTTGTTCTCTTTTTTTGATAGTGCATTGAATTGACATTTTATATTTTAAAAGCTTCAGTTGAAATGGATTAGTTCTGTCTGAAAACTAGGCTGGGAGGGAAGGACCAAGTCTTGGCTATGTTAGATGCTTAAAACTGTAGCATTTAAATGGTGCAAATAAATACATATTTTAGGGAAAGTCACCTGAAGCTTCAGGTTGTAGTCAAAGTATTCCTGTGGTTCACTAAATCCTCTGCAAGACACCTAATTCTAAGCTCCAGCTTAAAATTAACCAAATAATTTCATCCATTCTCTCTGCACTTTCTAATTTCTCATCTGTAGTCACAAAACTGTTCTATAAACTCATGGGGATGGAACAGAGAGAACCTGATGTTTAGAAGGCAAAAGATCCCAGAACAACAGGTGGCCCTAAAGAATGTGACACGATTCATAACTTTGTCCGCAACAAAACTTCTTCCAGATCTTTCCCACAAATAAAATGTGGCACCACATACTGAACCACAAAGATTAAACCTCATTATGTAACAGCTCTTCATTAAATGAGCACTCCAAACTTACACAAGAGTTGTGCTTCAATTTGCATAGGCAATTCTTGAAGAAAAATTCATAATACTTTTATCTGTGGGACAGACATCTCAGCCAAACCAGAGATTTGCATGAACAAGAGCGAGACGCTGAGCCAGAGCAGTCTGTCTGCTCCAGACACAGGGCAAATTCCAAGAAAGCCCAAGAGGGAAGCTCAGTCTCCTGTCAGTCCTCCAGGCTATTTCAGTCCATGTTTCTACTCTCCCTCAGCCTGCCAAGTTTGTATGCTGTACCCTGAGGTTTTCAAGTACCTCCACTTCAACACTAGAAGCAACCAGTGAGGACAGAGGGTAGGAAAGCTCTACAGAGAGACCTGGACCGACCTGACCAGTGGCTGTGGACAAGTGCATGAGGGTCAGTCAGGCTCAGTGCTGGTCCTGCCCTTGGCACACAACAGCCCATGCAGCTCCAGGCTAGGGAAGGAGTGGGGACAGAGGTGTTGGGCACAAAGGGACTTGGCAGTGCTGGTGGCACAACTCAGTGTGACCAACAGTGTGCACAGGTGGCCAAGGAGGCCAAGGGCATCTTGTCCTGGCTCCAGCAGAGTGTGGCAGCAGCACTAGGGCAGTGTCATCCCCCTGCACTGGGCACTGGGGAGGTCCCAGCTCAGTGCTGTGCTCAGCTTTGGGCACTCACTGCCCAAAGGCCATTGAGGCACTGGAGCGAGTCCAGCCAAGGGCAACGAGGGCAGCAAAGGGCTAGAGCACATGGGCAAGGGCTGAGGGACTTGGGCTTGGTCAGCCTGGAGAAGAGGCTCAGGGGTGACCTCATGGCTCTCTCCCACTCCCTGACAGGGGAGTTATGTTATATTGTTATGGTATAATGGTCAGGCACTGGGATATTGCCCAGGGAGGTGGTGGAGTCACCATCCCTGGAGGTGTTTAAGAGGCATCTGGATGTGGCACTGGAAGATCTGGTTTAGGGTTTAGAGGTTCCAGCAGTGACAGGTTAATGGTTGGACTTGATGATCTTAGAGGTTCCCTCCAACCCTGATGGTTCTGTGATTCTATGACTGTAAATATATTCAATTTCACCCGAGTTTCTCCAACAACAGCATTAAGGAAGCCACAGCAAGAGCTATAGTACAAGCTGGAGGAAACTATAGGATGTTGCCAGCAATTAATAACCAAAGTAACCACCTACTCTAAACAGCTCAAAATGTCGTTTTTCCCTCAACAGAAGATTCAGACAATCTCCATATTCAGCGGCTCTGGAATCTTTTACACAACAAATATCTGATGTGGAACCTAGTACTGGAATTCATATGTAAGAAGGAAGAGTCATATATGACCATAAACCAACAGGCTTAGAAGAAACCTTAAGAGGTCATCTAAAGCAGTCTCTTGGCCTCAGGCAGATCAACTATACCTACATTATTCTGTAGAGATGCTTGTTTAACCTGTTCTAAAAATCCTTTCATGATGGAAATTCCACCACTTCCCTGAGCCATCCAGCCCAGAAATCCAGGATTCCTGGTGCAAGAGGAAGTTTCATGTCTAGTTAAAGCTTTCCTTACCACTATTTAAACTCTCTAGTTCTTCTAGCCACGGGGGCAAGAGAAAACACATATTTTCCTCTTTTTTTCCCTCTGCCATTACATTTAAGGAAACTATAATATATAAGTAAATTAAATAGATTAAACAACACCAGTTTGACAGAGCTTTATGAGGCTACCGAGAGACCTTGGCTCTACTGAAGTCATGATGTGATGCATCCTGCCTCTAAATCACTTGTGCGAAAGATGCTACCTTGTTGTAAAAGGACAGAGTGGCTCAACATCATGTGATTTTACACGGTTTCCAAGTTGAGATTTATTTTTTTTGCTGTAGAAGGAACACTGGCCCAGAAAACATGTTTCATATATTCAAGATCATCTATCTGCTCCTGCACTCAGGCTGTGAAAGAAGGAAAAACCTTAGTGATGTGATTATTGTGTCTCTGTCAATCGCCCACAAATTCAGCTCTCAACCACTACATAAACTCAGAGTCCCCTTGGCAAAACCAGACCAAAGTTCACTGCACCTCAAGGACACCACTTGATTCCCTCAGCTCAGGGTGTACCAATATTGTCTCCTGCCAAGCTGGGTGTCACAGTTTCAGCCCAGGGAAAGGCATCTCACTAATGAGGAAACAAGGTGCTAGAGCCAACCATTGGCATAATACTCCTCAAAGAAACCTGATTGAGCAAGGATTTATTTTTAACAGGTTGTCTGAGTAATACCCCAGGAACTGAAACACTGGGCTGCAAGACAAGTGTCCTGAAATATACACAACATGAGTCAAAATACTGAGCATGATGGCAATATGAGTTAGATTTTCAAATCAGTATCATAGCTGTCCTTAGTTGTGGTGGGGATGGAATAAGAACCAGAGGTATTTCAGAGAGAGAAAATACAAATCAGCATGGATGGAGCCTGGAAATTTGCTGCTGAAGAGCACAAGTGAAACATACACTAGTGAAATACACAGTACACCCACTGAACTAAATCAGCTTGATGAAAAAAACATTCTTAGCCAAAGATTAGGACACAGGGGAACTGATAAATCCTTGAATTTCTCATTTTAGATTGATTCCTAAACAGGAACAGCTGGATAAACCTCATCTTGTAAAGCACTGGAACATTTCTTGGATAATCTCTCAATTCAATCATTCACAACTTTTAATACCTGAACACAATGTCACACAACAGGATCAACCTAACACTCAGGAACAAGTCACCTCAGGACTTTGAAATCATCTATTTGTTTCCACAATGAACATCAAGCTCCAAACAATCCTGCACTGCCCTCCTCCTGCTCAACCCACTCACCAGTGTTACCTGTCTGTTCCTCTCCTCTACAGCTCCTGCTCCCAAACCAATGGCTTGATTCCAACTTGATGAATTCTCAACCCTTTTTACTGATTTTTCCTGGCAAACCCTAGAGTATCCCTTCACAGTTCAGGTCTTTTCCATGCCAGATAAGCAATAAACCTCACAACCTGCCCTCGAAACTACTCTGTCATCTCACTCATTTCTCACCTTACAGATGACCTCATTCTAGGAGAGGCTCAATACTCTACCCACATCTTCTCTGCCCAACAGATGCTTTGCAAGCAGTTGGACATGTTCCTCTTAGTATGTTGTCTCCCCCTTTTTCCATGCCCTCTTCCTGGCAAAAACTCAGAGGATAATACTGCACCTGCATATAATTTTATGTCCACAACAATCAATTAAAAAAGAAATAAGTCACATCTATGAAAATTTAGAAGCAAAATCACTCAAGCAGCGAACCAAAGGTTAACAAAAAACCCCCCCCACATCCCAAGAAAATGAAACCCATGACTTCTTCCCCTTTCTGCTATTCATTACTCTCATTATCTCAATTTAGAGATAGGAAGTCCTACCTGATATTAAAGGTATAGTAGATAATGGAGAAGTTTTGTGTTAATGACTTCTGTCAGTTTAAGAATTATCAGGGATATGACTGCAAGGTAGGAACATACTGGATATTTAACATGGCTGAATTCACTCACTGCTGTTCAGTCACGTTAGACTCTCCTTTTGCCTTTTTTAATTTTTTTCTTTAAACCAACAGAGAAATTTCACTGTGTAAATGAAAACAAAAAAAGGAACCTAAAACCCTTCTCTGCCAGCAGGTCAGTGAACAGACATTTCAAACACAAGGCTAAAACACAATGAATATAAAGCAGAAAACACATTGCTGATAAAAATTCCAACTTCATTCCTTCTATTTCACAGGAACTGGAAGGCATTATCCTCTCACTATGCATTTTCCCCTAATGAAGAGTTTTAAAACATCCATTCATGCTCTTGTGCTTTGCAATTTCAGAGCATTTAGTTGTGCCTACAGTCCCCAGACAGGAACAATCAGAAAAGACAAGACTTCCTCAAAGTAAGTCTCTTTTGCACTGTAGAGACTTCACCATCACCCAAGAAGTTTTAATAACTTTCATCATGGATTTTGCTAACCTGGGAGTCCTGAGAGCCTACTGCACTCAAGGT